ACCCTTTAACTCCATTATTAAAATTACCAGAAAAAGAAGTTCTTATTAATACTTGTTTACTACAACCTCAAAGCCCATTACCACATAGATATCAATTTAATTGTCTAAGAAAAGATGAGCCTCATAAAACATTATTTCAAAGCGTTTCACTTTATTCATTAATTAAGGATATAGTTGAACTAAGATTCGAAGATATTTCACCACTTATTATTATGTTAATTTTTGAATGGAATGATGTTGTTGAAGAATTAAATAATGCTATTACAACAAGAAGGTATATTCTATCAGAGGCAAACCAAGAAATGGAAGGATTGATGATAAGTGATGAAGAGATGTTTCAAATAAATGAATATATGAAATACTTTGGAAGAGAAATGGGAATGAAAGAAAAAGAATTATTTGAAATGAATAAAGTTGCTAAAGAAATTGGAAATGAATTTGAGGTAGAATATGAAAATTATAAGAAAGAACAAAGAAAAAATACAAAACAACATAAAGACAAACAAGCTCAAATAAAACAACGAATGATAAATCAACAAAAGAAAATATTAACAAAAGATAAACAAGAAATACAAGAGTTAGTTAAAGAAGTAGAAAAAGAAGAAGAAATTTGTGTTATTTGTCAACAAAAAAAGAATGATATTATAGGCTTTTTCACTTGTTTTAGTGAAAATAAAAAAGTTGAAACTATTAGAAAAATGAATGATGGAATTAAAGTGAAATGCAATGTTAATGGATGTCAACATACTGTACATTATAATTGTTATCAACAGTATAAAAGAAATATATGTCCAATATGTAAATACCAAATTAATCATTTTCTACCTCATCAAGATGAATTTAAGAAAGAAGAATCAACTAGTATTGAAGGAAAAGAAATTACGAGAAAAGAGGTATTAAGAAATTGTATTTTTAATGAATTCTATGATGAAAAAAATCAATCAATTGATATATTAGAAAATGCTATTGATTGTTTATATGGTACAATAGTATCATTACAGTGTTCTTCAGAATTAAATTATTTATATAAAGAAACAGATAAACAAATAATAATATCATTGTTAGAATCAGCTCGTTTTATTTTTCGTGAAACTGAACTATTTCAAGATTTATATCAAATACAAAATGATATTGAAGATTATTATCAGCAATGTAAAAACCCTTTAAAAATTTATTTATTTAGTTTAGTTTCTCAATCAAATTCAATGGAACGCATTGCTTGGACATCACAAGCAAGAAATTGTGCTTGTATTGCAAAACAACTTCAATTAAATCATGATGAATTTGTTATTATTGATGATAACATTCAATATCAAAATATAGCATTACCAACAAATGTACAAAAAGAATTACAAAAATGTTTAAGCATTAAACAACTTACTGAACAATTGACATGTGTATTAAATGATCAAATAAAAATATTAAATGAGATTATTGGAATTAAAGAAATTAATGTATCTTTAAGAGTCTATGAAATGATGGGATTTATTGATGAGCTTTTATTTAATAGTTTACCTGATATCAAACAACCTATTTTTGATTTTAAATTACAAAAACATTTTAAAGATTTTGTAGGTCAATTTGCAGAACAAAAATGTAGTGTGTGTCATGAAGTACCAAAAGAATATATGAAATGTTCATATTGTTTAAATTGTGGTGCATTTGTTTGTGATAATCAAGAATGTTTTATCAATCATAAATCAAAAAATGAATCTCCTGATTTATTATATATTTATTTAAGAAATGGAAGAATTTGTGTTCATATTAATTCAACACTAACTGCTTCGTCTTGTATTTACTTTAATAAATACGCAGAGTCTTTTGAACAAAGTCAATTAAAAAATAGTGAATTTATTTTAAATGAACTAAAACTACAAGAATTTTTACAACATTATATAAGAGGAGATGTTATAGAAAATCCATTGTTTAAATGATTTCTAATAACAAGTTTTTTTTTCTTTTTATAAAAATCTTAAATAATATGAAACTTATTATTTTTCATTAATAAAAAAAATGGGATTAGAAGGTACTCTCATGGACAATGGCACTTTGGGTTATTTATTATTTTCAACTCTTTCTATCATTTTATTTGTAGTCATAGCCATATTATTACAAATTCTTCAAAAATTTAAAATTATTCATTGAATAAATCAATAACTACTTAATTGTTATTAAAGAAAAAACCCTGGTTTTCAATTATTATGTTTACTTTTTTCTTTAAATTAATTCAACTGTTGGTCCTTTCGTTTGTTGTGGTTGTTCTTCTTCTAAAATTTCTTTTACTTCTTCTTTTGGAACTTCTTTTACTTGTTCTTCTGTTTTTGAGATTTCCATTGTTAGTATCTTCTTCATGAATTATTGGTTGTTCCCTGCTTTACTAATCTCCTTGTCTATACTC